ATCCTCTCTCATCCTTCATCTGAAATCCAGTGGAGTCAGAGTTGCACCCCACACTCCAGTAAAATGGCTTCAGAGAGGTCAGCAGTGACCTCCATATTACCAAAACCAAGTGTCAGTCCCAGGGCACACCTTACTGGCCTGCTGTCATATAGCTGGTCCTAGTATTCATTTAGAAACATCATCTTCTTTAGCAAGGGGGTCATCACACATTCCTGATTATTTTTCCCGCATACCCACTGTTTTTTCAGGCTCCTGTGGTGCTGCTCCTTACTTCCTTATGTTAACCTCTCATATGTATCTCTACCATCAGTCAATATATTCGCCTTTGAGGCTGAATTCAGCCAAACCAGGTACTCAGAGCCTCCCATTCTGATTGCCTGCTTTTACCATCTCCTCTTTCCCTTAGCACTCTGTGGTGCTTCAGAGGCCTGTCACCACATCCTGAGAATTGTGCCGTTTCCATTGCACACAAGGAAGCTGAGAATCAGATTTTCCACCACTTCTCATTCCAGATCCTATACTCTTTTGTTTACAACCCATTGCTTCGCCTAGTTCTTCAAACTTGGCCCTAAGTAAAGCAGAGGAGTGAAAGTGAGGTTCCTTCTTTTGGGTTCCAGTCTGGCTGTCTGGATTTCCTCTGTAGAGCACATGTGGTTTACACTCTTCACCCCAGGGGCTTGGTAGTCACGTTCTCAGCACAATGGACGCTCTTACTGGTGAAATGCTAACTCTCCCACAATGAAAGGCCAGCTGCAAAGTGGGAGAAGAACAAGGGCTAATGATCCCATCAGACATCTGTGGGGCCTCCTGGCATTTGGAGTGAGAGTGCCTTAGAGAAACTAACAATTCTGGCCTGAGGGAGTTGGCGACCATTAATCTTGGTGGTTTTGACCGCTGACTGCCCTTGAGGTCCCAGCCTGCTGTATGACTCAGAATCCCCAACACTCCCCCTATTCTTCTCTCACTGGGACAGTTAGGAGGCCATGTCTAAGGCATTTTAATTTGGTAATAATTGACATGGCCCACTGTACCCAGACTTGCTTTCTAAATGATAGTTGGTTAGTGTTCATCATCCTTGATATTTGACTACCTTGCATTGCTGTGGGAAGGGTTATCTTCTGCCTCCCCTCCTTGGTTCTGGCTTTCCCTCCAGCTGGCTTAGTGTTCTCTCCAAATTGGATGCCCAAGAGGCCCCAGCTGATCCACAGCCATTTGAACACCCTCTAAGAGCTGAGGGTGTAAACTAGGGAGAAGAAAGATATGGCCAGAGGTTTGTGTATACATTTAGTACTACAACACTCGGTGTTAAACTGGGAAGTTGACCTCTATCTTCCAACTTCTTTGGGAAACTTTTGGGAATTCAGAAAGACCACAGGAACTCATAATACAAGTTGGGCAAGAAGAGGGTGGGTGGTCTTAAAATGCCACAGCATTTGTGTACAGACTTTCAAAAAGAAGGGTGAGGCCTTTATGGCCTCCTTCTCTACCCATCTCTGGCCACATTCACCACTCCTATGCTGCCACTGGGCTCTGTGCCATCTTCTGTGATCATGTTGCTGGTAGTTTCATGACAGTAGCTCCCGCGTGGTGTTAGAGAGAAGTGGGTGCAATTGCAGTGCCTAGTCCTTACCAGCTGCTCGATCTTGGGCAGGGCGCTTCATCTTTCTGAGCTTCATGTGCAGATTAATAATGCACAGCACCCAGACTCACAGTGTTGTTGAGAGGAGTCGCTGAAAGCTGTCCAGAATGCTTTAGTCACTGCCTAGTCCAAAAGCTTCCAGTAAGCTCAGTAATTGCACTGGCGTTTATATTTCATTTCTAAAATACAGCTGTTTACATAAGAAAATATTGTTTTTCTTCTCTTAGAATCTTTGACTTTCTTTTGCCTACCAAATAAAGTCCCAGCTTGTCACTCAGCATTTGCATTTCAGACTCTGGATTTCTTTGATAGCAAAGACTAAACTGTTGACTTCTAAAAGAACTGTGGAAACAGATGAATTTGTCTATATTCAATAAACAGCTATTTATGTGAGGCCCTGGACTAGGACACCAGGAGTGAATCAGACAACACCTAACAGGTTGTGGCATCATCATTTCTGGCTCCCCAGTTCAGATACTTATCCACCCGGACCTCCACCCCAAGTCCCTGAAGAAAGTAGCATTTAGAGCCAATTTGCCATTGAGCCCAGCTCATTTGAGCAGCTAGGCTCCAGAGAGTTGGCAGTGGGCCCAAGAGTGGGGACAGAAGTTGGGACTCAGATCTGGCAGCAGGCCAGGCTCACTCAGGTGCCCCAGCAGGTGGGGCCTTTAGCCCTCATGGTCACTGGGCCCAGTCACTGAAGATGTCTTGGTCTTTTCTAGACTGTTTGGAACAGAGCTGTAGTGAAGGATGACGACTCCAGTTCCACACTGAAACCCAATGATGTGGGGTGGCCTGGTCATAGCCATATAGCAGCAAAGTCAAGTTTAGAATACAATCTTCTGAAGTGTTTGCAGTCTCTGTCTGTGGCTTCCTGAGATTGCCTGGTCTGCAATGAAGAGTTCAGGGATAATGTCAGGTTCGTTTCACTTTTTAGGAAGTTATGGAGGTCCTTGGGTGCCTGTCTATGTGCTAGGTGCTGGAGATAGGGAGGAAATCAGACTTTGATCTCAAGAAAGTACAGTATTTACAGGGAAACATGATACCAACAATTACCCTCATTATGTCAGTGATGGGCTTGAGTGTGTGGTGTGGATGGAGGGGCAGGGGGTACAAAAGCAGAGAGGCACTTATTCCAATCTGTGGCCAAGGAAATTATTCCCAGTGAAGTTGTCATCTGAATTTAGTTGTAAAGACCCAAGAAAGGGACTGAGTTCAGTCAGAGAACAGGAGAATATCTTCACTAAAAGTCAGGGGTACATCAGTCTAATAACACACATTTATGCATCTCTATTCAGACCCTGTAAATGGTTCCCACTAGATGGGTCATAGAGGGGTAAAATGAATAAAGACAGCCAGGTGCTGGTGGCTCACACCTATAATCCTAGCTATTCAGAGGGCTGAGATCTGAGGATCATGGTTCAAAGCCAGCCCATGAGACTCATCTCCAATAAACCACCAGAAAACCAGAAGTGGCTCTGTGGCTCAAGTGGTAGAATGCTAGCTGAAGAGCTCAGGGACAGCGCCCAGGCCCAGAGTTCAAGCCCCATGACTGACAAAAAAATAAAAATAAAATAAAGACGGGAAGCTAGACATGAAGAGACATGCCAGGCACATGAAAAACGCAGTTGCTGTGGCTGTCAAGGCCTAAGCATTTCTGTACTCCAGCACTCCGGATGGCCATCTGCTGTTATCTCATCCAGGAGAAAGCAGCAGCAACAGTTGGTGGTGAACACGTACACTCATCTTTGGATGAAATCTGAAAGAAGTTTTATGAGGCAGGGGCTGAACAATAAGGGGGAAAAAAACCTCAAAACATTAACAAAGGCTCACAAATGGCAGAAGGAAGGGCAGCTACTCAGGGTAGAAAAGAAAAACATTGAATGTCTTGGGTATATTTCCTATCTCCTTCCTTCCAGGCAATCCTGGAGTTGGTGGATCATATCCCTAACTTCTGCTGATTGACTAACATCTGGCAGCAGGATAGGGTAGAGCATGGTGGACTGGTTAAGAATAACCAGTCAGAAACTGGGACTGGATTGGAGTGTTAAGGGATTGGGTAGGATCATTGCCTGTAACTGGACTATTGATGTCTGGACTATAAAGTATGAATGGAAGACCCAGGAAGGTGCCAAGGCAAACTATCCTGAGTCCAGGACTTACTATAAGTAGAAATAGCAGGTAGCAAAGGCAAGAATATAAGTTCCTGTCTAGTTAGAAGAAAGGCATGTATGAACACTAGATAGGCATGCTTATGAACTATTTTCTTTTGACCTTAGGTCTCTGGTTAGTTTTGAAAAAGCAAGCACAAAGTGAGTCCATCTCCTCTTACTTGCATAGTTTTTTCCAACTGCCTCTGAATGATTTACTCCTTGCTATGACCTCTCATCACCAGGATACTCCCAGGGTGTCGGGGAGGTCTCTTCTTTTTGGGGTGATTCCCACTTGGCATTTTTGCTTGTTGTTGGGAAGGCATGTCCCAGTTGGCATATTTGCCCAAACATAGGGCCCACAGATGGGAATCACTCACCAGACATAGAGGGGAGATGGTATGGTAGATGACAGTGTAGAGGATGAACAGCCAGCAGTGGTAAAGATGGGAAATCCAATATCGGGTTCTTTCAGCAGTCTGGGTCCTAAGAGGGGAGTCCCAGGAGGTGGATTGGACCTGGGCTGGGAGAAATGGAGAGGATCCAGCAACCCTGACACTCTCCAGTCCTGGGTTTGGGCACCAGATGTAAAGGTTGCTGAAAAGAGACCACCACCAGGCAGAAAAGAATTTATTTGAAAGAGCCAAACTGCTGGGCTGCACTATAGAGTGTAGCAGCTTAACTAATGGCAGAGGGAGATGATATAGGAAAGGGTAAGAAGGAGGTGTGGGCATAGCAGATAAGGAAGTCCCCCAGGCTCTGAGGGACCTCCCACTACCTTCTAGGTGTGCACTGACCAGTTACCTAGTGGTTAGGGGTGATGGGCAGGGACTTCTAGAGAGGGCCCCCTTCCCCCAGTTTTGTACAGGGAGAGAACAAAGGGGAAGGAGGCTACCTGCTGTTTTGCATGAAGAGAAAACAAAAGGAAGGAGCCATTTTTTCATGGGTGAACCTAACAGTAATGATTTCCTCAGAATCAATCATGCTTATCGCAAAGAATCTATGTGAAACTGTGTGTTTCTTTTACAAATTCCATTGAGGGGGCCTTATTTGGGGAATTTTCCATCTCTAAGGCTTGGAGTAGAAAAGTGTCTGAAAAGTGCTAACTGTAGGGAATGAAGCTTTCTTCAAGAATTTAGTCTCTTCAGGAAGTAATAACCCACGTGCTGCTCAGTGCCTGGCAAGTTGTGACCTTCCTTCTCTTCCCACAGGCCTGCTGAGTTAGCCACCAAGTACGCAAACTTTTCAGAGGGAGCTTGCAAACCTGGCTATGCTTCAGCCCTGATGACTGCCATCTTCCCCAGGTAAGTGCTTCTGCTTCCTCAGCTGCCTAGACAGTCTGGTCTGTAGCCCGAGAATCAGAAACCTGGCCTCTTACGGCGTATATTTTTCTGAGGAAGCAAGGTGATGCCTTTTGTGTCTAGAAATCTACACGTGCCTGGAAAGGACTTTGCTTTTGGCAGTTACACCTAGTCCCACTCAGTGCCTTCACCATACCTATCCATCTGAGTCTTGGACTTGCACTTGACAGGGCAGCTTGTTTTGGAGAATAATAGAAGGTAGGTCACCCCACAGAAGCTAAGTATCTGGATCTACCAGGCAAGGCTGCCAAGTGGAGACACACTTTAGTCCTAGTGTTAGTGATCAAACAAAGCTTAGACTAACAGGCTTTATTTTATTTTTTTTATTTTTTTGGGGGGGGTCCAGTCGTGGGGCCTGAGCTCTGGGCCTGGGTGCTGTCCCTCAGCTCTTCAGCTCAAGGCTAGCGCTCTACCACTTGAGCCACAGCGCCACTTCTGGCTTTTTTCTTTTTGCTTATGTGATGCTGAGGAATCGAACCCAGGGCCTCAGGCATGCAAGGCAAGTGCTCACAGAGCCACCTTCCCAGCCCGACTAACAAGGCTTTAAAGAGGTATATCCAAATAAAGCAAAGAAAGCCAGGTACCGGAGGCTCACATCTATAATCCTAGCTACTCAGGAGGCTGAGATTTGAGGTTCAAAGCCAGCCCAGGCAGGAAAGTCAGTGAGACTCTTATCTCCAATAAACCACCAGAAAACCGGAAGTAGCAAGCGGTAGAGCACTTGCCTTGAGCTGAAGAGTGCAGGGACAGCGCCCAGGCCCAGAATTCAAGCCCCATGACAGACAAACGAAAAAAACAAAACAAACAAAGCAAAGAGCAAGAACTACTTCCTGAGGCTGTCCAAATTTAGCCCTTCCCACTCTTCTATTTTGCATTCTGGAAGTCCTGATTTCCTTGATGTCGGACTTGCCAAAGGAATCTCTGCCCAATCAAATATTGCTGATGGGCTTTACTCTGTTGACCCTCTTCTTTCTTGTCTGAAACCTTGGTGTGGGAAGGGATTGAAGATTTTAAATTGTCTTGTCTTGGAATGCCTTGAAATGTCAGGATTACTTGCTTCCTTCAGAAAGTGATGGAAGCTTGTGACTCTAGGGGGATGAGGAAGGCTGTCCAGGACCCTTTGGGTATTAGGATATAGCACTTGGATCATTGGAAGGAAGAGTGCTGAAGGTGGCTATGCCCACTACAGGAAGGACTTGCTTCCCACCGTTAGAAGGCCAAGGTTAGGCACACAATATGCTTGCAAAGGAATGCTGTTCAGGATATTGGGTTGGATGCTCACTTTCTTGTCCAATAAGCAGTTCCACTTAGCTTCTTGTATAAAGCAGAGGTTATACTGCTGGGTACCTGGTTCTTGGGTAGAGCTCTCTTTGTCCCCGATCTGCCTCTGAATTGACTCCAAATGATTTGCTTCCTCTAGCCATTTACTAGACACCTCTAAAAGTATCTGACATTTTTTTAATGTTTTTACAAGCCTATAGAGCTCTGTCCCGTGGGTCAGACATTGAGTTTTCCTTGACATAAACACAGGACCTGAGTTTCTTCTATTTTTTCTTTTTTTTTGTTGGTCGTGGGGCCTGAACTCTGGGCCTGGGTGCTGTCCCTCAGCTCTTCTGCTCAAGGCTAGTACTCTACCACTTGAGCCACAGCACCACTTCCAGCTTTTTCTGCTATGTGGTGCTGAGGACTTCATGCATTCAAGGCAAGCACTCTACCACTGAGCCACCTTCCCAGCCCCTTTTCTACTTTTTCTAATTGAAAGTAATTCAAACTATGGGGGAAGAGAATGCAAATAATAAAAAAAAAGAGTAAACATACTGTCCCTCCAGACCTCTTCCCTAGAGACAGCTAATACCATTACCATAAATGGGGATGGTTTCCATAAATGGGAATTTGTTTTTATTCCTAAAAGTATATTCTAGAGATTATTGCATTACTACTAAGTATAGCTCCATCTCTTTTTCTTTTGTTGTTATTTTTTTTTTCTTTCTGGTGCCAAGGATAAAATCTAGGGTCTATTCCTAAGCTATGCCCTCAGCTCCCTCTATCTCATTTAAAAATGAAGGTGATGTACAGAGGGGTTACAGTTACACAAGCCAGGTAATGAGTACATTTCTTTTTGGACAGTATCACCCATCTTGTATCCATTTTTTTTTTTTTTGCTGTTTAGTTTTTTTTTTTTTTTATTGTGAAAATACTGTACAGAGGGGTTACAATTACATGGGCAAGATAATGAGTACATTTCTTATTAAGCATTGTAGCCTCCTCCTTTGTTTCCCCTTCCCATCCCTTCCCATCTTCCCCCTACCCCCCCATTTTTTTGAGTAAATACCTAGGGGTGTAATGATCAGGGTCCTATGTTATGGGTACATCTGACTTGATAATATACAATTGTATAGTTATGTCATAATTTTGTTAAAAGCAAGATTTATTAAAGTTCAGTTTATATACAGTAAATTTTACTATTCTTTGCAATTCTGAGTTTTGACAAATGCATTCTTTGTGTAGCCACCACAACATTCCATCACCCCAAAAGATTCCTGTGTTCCTTATTTTTTATAGTGTTTTTGTAGTATTTCCAGAATTTCATATGGATGGAATCATATAGAATTGTAGTCTTGTGAGTTGATTCCTTCCATTTACTGTAATGCTTTTTCCATTCATATATTTGTTATGTATAACTTTTTTTCTTTTTATTAATGAGTAGTAGTCTGTTGTATGGAATACAGTCCATTTACTCAAAGGTTAAAAAAATGTATTAATTCCAGTTTGGGCATGAAGAAAGTCACTATATTATTTCAAGTTTTTGTTTGGACATGCATTCTTTTTCTTTTTTGGCCCTGGGGCTTGAACTCTGTGCCTGGGCACGGTCCCTCAGCTCTTCAGCTCAAGGCTAGTGTTCTACCACTTGAGCCACAGCTCCATGTCTGGTTTTCTGGTGGTTTATTGGAGATAAGAATCTCATGGACTTTCCTGCCCAGGCTGGCTTTGAACCACAACCCTCAAATCTTGTGAGTAGCTAGGATTATAAGCATGAGCCACTGGTGCACAGCTCCTCTTCCTCCTCCTCCTCCTCCCCCCACCCCCCCAACCTCCTCCTCCTCCTCCTTCTTCTTCTTCTTCTTTTGAAATAATTGGGGCTGGGAATGTGGCTTATAGTGCTTGCCTAGCATGCATGAATCCCTAGGTTTGTTTCCTCAGTACCACATAAACAGAAAACAGCCAGAAGTGGAACTGTGGCTCAAGTGGTAGAGTACCAACCTTGAGCCAAAAGAAACTCAGAGACAGTGCCCAGGCCCTGAGTTCAATCCCCAGGACTGGCAAGTGGGAAGGGGGGGGGGAGAGGGGGAGGAGGGGAGTGAAGGAAGGAAGGAAAAGGAAAGAAGGAAGGAAGGAAGGAAGGATATATTGTGAAGGTGATGTGCAGAGGGGTTACAGTTACATAAATCAGGTAATGAGTACATTTGTTTTTGGACAATACAACCCCTTCCTGCATCCATTTTTTTTTTTTTTTTGAGTAAATACCTAGGGGTATAATGACCAGGGTCCTATGTTACAGGTACATTTGACTTGATAAGAAATTGCTGCTGGACATCAGTGGCTCACACCTGTAATCCAAGCTACTCACCAGGCAGGCTGAGATCTGAGAATTGTTGTTCAAAGCCAGCCCAGGAAGGAAAGTCTGTGGCTCAAGTGGTAGAGTGCTAGCCTTGTACCAAAGAAGCTCAGGAATAGCACCCAGGCCTAGAGTTCAAGCCCCAAGACCAGCAAAAGAAGAAGAAGGAGAAGAGAAGGAGGAGAAGAAGAGGAGGAGGAGAGGGAGGAGGAAGAAGAAGAAGAAGAAGAAAACAAAAAAGAAATTGCCAAAATGATTTGGCAGAGACACAGCATTGTGCATTTGTGTTCTTCCCCTAAGAGTATCCTCCTTTGGTCTCACTGTGTGTGTGAATGAATGCCTGGAGTACCGTGTAACTTACAATGTCCCAGTATATTTTAAATCTCACATATGAGAGGAAACATGCACAAATTGATTTCTAAAATGATTGTACTATTTTGATTCCTTACCAGTATGAGAGTCCCACTTGCTCTGCATACTTGCTATCATCATTTTAATTTTAGCCATAGTAGCTCACTGTGCTTTTAATTAGCATTCATGTGCTTATTTTCCATTCTTTATCTTTATAGAACTGTCTGTTCCAATCTGTTGCCATTGTAATGGTTGTTATCTTAATGAATTTTAAGAGTTCTTTAAATATTCTAGATTAAACCTGTATCACATAAGTGATTTGCAATTTTTTTTTCTTACTTGTCATTCTTTTAAGTATGTCTTTCACAGAGTTGAAGTTTTTAATATTGATGAAGTCCAACTTTTCAATTTTTTTTTTTTATTAATTGTGCTTTTTCCCTAGTCTACAATCAGAGGATTTTTTTTTTTTAATTGCCGGTCATGGGGCCTGAACTCTGGGCCTGGGTGCTGTCTCTCAGCTCTTCAGCTCAAGGCTAGTGCTCTACCACTTGAGCCACAGCCCCACTTCCAGCTTTTTCTGCTTATATGGTGCTAAGGAATCGAACCCAGGGCCTCATGCATGCAAGGCAAGCACTTTACCGCTGAGCCACCTTCCCAGACAATCAGGATTTTTTTTTCCTCTTATTTTCTTATAGAATTTATATAAGTTTAATTTTGACATTTAGGTCAGTGACTCATATTAAGCTATTTTATTTTATTTTATTTTTGCCAGCCCTGGGGCTTGCACTCGGGCCTGGGCACTGTCCCTGGGCCTCTTTTGCTCAAGAATAGCACTGTAGCACTTGAACCATAGTGCCACTTCCAGCTTTTTCTGTTTATGTGATGCTGAGGAATCAAATCCAGGGATTCATGCATGCTACGCAAACACTCTACCATAAGCCACATTCTCAGCCCCTTGAGTTAATTTTTTTTTTCC